AAAATTCTCGTTTTTAATGTACTATTCATAAAACATCAAAAGAGTAACTTTGAAATTTTCTGTACATATTGTGAAACAATATGCAATAGTTAAGTTTTTGATATTTTTATTAATAAAACAGCAAAAACAGGAATTTTGGTATTAGTTTATTCCTCCAGAGAATGTGTTTGCTAGCTCAAGAGTTATTACAGCTTGAGCTTTTAGTATTAAAGTAATGTTGATCTATAGATTAGTGATCTTCATTATATGACTTGCACTATAGTTGTAATTAGACTGATGTATATCCGAATAACGTATATACAGTACATACGTACGTATGTATGTTGTATGTTATTTTTTGCGTGTCTAAAAAAGAAGATAATGCAACTTAAATAATGATGATTGGGTTAGAATATAATTGATTGAAGGTTGTTGATTATTTCTTTTTTTTGATTAGTACAGGCAAATAAGTAAAGCTATTAAGCCACAATTTAAAAAATTTAATTGGGTGATCAGACACATTTGATCGTTACATATACAGTTAATTAAGTATTTTAAATAACTCTAAATTGTAGAATTTTGTAAGAAATAGGTTTAGCAACAATAATTGGGTAAGTAATGCTGTGTTCTATATGTTTATGTGACCAAAGCTTTACTTAAAGAGACTAATCTCTCTTTTTCAGCCTTTCTTTCTTTCAGTCTTTTGCAATTCTTGATTCGTTGGAGTCTTTTGAGTGAAAATGGAGCAAAAAGAATATTTTTAAGGGAACAAACTCATGATACAGCCACAAACGAGAGACCGGCAGCATATTCTTTTCTACCAAGATCTATCACTGCTTTTGGTAACATAAGCCCTTGGCTCTTATATACTGTGATAGACCATGCAAGACTAAGAGGAATTTGTAATCGTGAGCAAGTCATTGTATTGGTTTCCCAGGTACGTCAGATAGGTGGAATTGGGACAAGTTTCTTATATTCTGTAGATTCAACTGCAGGACCATTGTAATTATCGAATTCTACAAAGACAACGATAGGAAGAGAAGGTGGGCTCTGATCATCTTCAAATAGAATATTATAGATCGTTCCTAGTGCACCATTAACTAATCCTGCTTCTACACATAAATTTGCTTTGAGCATAACACGCGCACCTCTAGCCAACAGCAGTTGTGCTTCAAGACCTTTCGCGATATCTGAATCAGCTTTAGACGCTTCAATACCTGTATGAACAGCGTGAATCCTAGCAATGGGTCGATTTAACGATCTAAGTTTACTAATATTAACTTTATCAACGTCAACTTTCTGAAGCAGGATATATATAGTATCTGAAAATTGTTCATACTCGCTAGGTTGTATGCTTGATGAACCATTGAATTGTGTGGAAAGCACTCTCTAATCGTTAAACGTGGATTCACCATCACGCAACCGTAACAAAATGGTCCTAAAATTACATTGCTCATCTGAATCATCGGACTGACAGTGAACAATATCAAGCTGATAAACCTCTTGAAATTGCTTATATGCAACAATACCATCATTTGATAGCGGGTCATGGCTAAGGCTTTGCGCGTACATGGGATAATCAAGTACCAGTGGGAGTTGGCCAAAATCGCCAACTAGAATAACTGATTGACCACCAAAGGGCTGATTTTGATGTTCAGAAAAGGCTTGATATAGTCGCATGTCAATTAGAACAAGCATGCGACATCCCACCATGCTTTTTTCATCGATGATAACATAGACCACACCAGTTAATTTTTTTTGCAGCTTTTTCAGACGTTTACCAGCTATATCAAAGTTGGTACCAGTTACTGGAATGGAGAGTGCTGAATAGATCATTTTACTATGAATGTTGAAAGCTGCAACCCCAGTTGGTGCAAGGACAATTATAGGCGAGTTCTCAATATCATGATCTATTGCTATTAATTTAAGTGTTTTAAGAATCATATTAATCAAATATGATTTACCTGTTTCAGCAGTCCCCATGATAATA